TCTAGGGGGAGGTATAAAGACAAAGACATGCATAAAACAAAGGACTCTTTTTCCTCCTCACTCAAGCAGCTGTTTGCTCACCATCTCTGCTTTTTAAGACATACTTAAGCTATGCTTGAGGTCATTGTCTTCAAAGTCAGAGAACCTGGGGGCCGGGGATTTAGCTCAGTGGTTTCGTAGCCTGCTGCTCAAGCACAAGGACCTGAGTTCAATCCCCGCTACCAAAAAACAAAACAAAAGTCAGAGAACCTGCATTTGAATTCTGGTTTGGCCTTTAGATTATCAAATGGAAATAATAATGCCTACCTCTGAGGTTATGATTAAAACAAATAAACAAAATGAATATAATGCACTAAGTATAGTACTAAATACTCAATAAAGAATTCTTCTTATTACTCTTGTATCTCAAGGTCCTGTATTCTAAATTTAAAAAGGAATTCTACTCTGTGATAAAATACAGACTTCTCTTTCATTTCTTGCCTCTCTCTTATTGTTCAGTCCAGCCCCTTTCTTCGGTCCAACCTGATTTTCACCAGTCCTTATATAACAGGTTTTACCCACCTCAGCACCTCAATATTCCTCCATAAATTCCAGTTTATAGGTCGTTTGCAAAACGTGTGGCTCTCAAATCTGAATACCAAGCTTACCATTACAAGGTACAATAGGACTTTTATTTCCTTTGAACTGGATAACTTGCTCACAAATTCAGTTCCAAATCCATTAATTTTTCAGCAGCCATTTCACAAAGGGATGGAAAAGGGTCCCTTTAGCCCAAGGGCCAAGGAAGAGTAATTTATTTGGAAGAAACCACATAACTTCACTCATTTAAGGTTTTACTAAATGGAGAGGAAATGAGATCTTGGAATTATATAATTTGTGATTATTACATTTTTTGAAAAGGTTAAGGTGTCTACCACAAAAAGTAAAACCATAATTGGCATCTTTGCTGTTGAAATTTGGGGAAGGAGATTCAGAAATTTTAGAAGACAACCACTGCGCTGGAGTCTTGGGAGACAAGCAGAGTACTAGGAAGAAGTCTGACAATCAAAGCAAATGAAGATGAAGAGTTAAATTGAATCCTACTTTCACTGATTTCTCTTTTCCTATTTAAAAGAAAATGTGGGTCTTTTCAAAAGGTAAAATTGCCTTATAAAAGCAAATATGATGAGATTTCTTTCTTTTCCTAAAGACGATCTTTTTTAAACACTGCCCTTTCAGCCTGTAAGCCACCACGCCTCCTCTATGAAAATGCCCAACCAGGGCACAGTGCCCATCAGCAGAGAGGAAAGTTACAATGATGAGTTGCACAATTACTGCATGTGATAATACCACAAGAGAAGATTAACTAGGAGCAAGAGTCATCTAGAGTTTTCTATTCATCATTTGAGTCACTCCCCAGGTCAGTAATAATACCTTTAAAAATCTGGCAGGGATTTCTATACTATGTGTCATCCCTGTCCATGTGCAGTATTTTGTAACTGGCAAATCTGAAAAGCCAATCCTTCCTTACAGAGCCAAGTAGAGAAGGAAGGAGGAGAAGCTTCTCCAGAAAAAGCAATGTGGGAAAAACAAAGTTTCAGATGATGACAGGGATTTACAAATAAAGGAGCATTTTCAGTGATAACTGGGAAGTAAAATTCTTTAACTCTCCCATCTAAAGGCAGAACCAAGAGAGAGAGTAAAATTATCTGTCCTCTCCACCTAATCATGAAACCAGAAACACAGAGGTCCAAGGACTGTAAGCCAGGCATCTTTGGGATATTAATGGGCAAGCAGGGAATAAATGAAAGAACAGGAAAGCGGGGAGAGAGAGAGAGAGAGAGAGAGAGAGAGAGAGAGAGGACTGAGGGAGTCAGAGCAATGAGAGAGCTGAAAGGATATGATACAGAAATGAAGGAGAGAAAGAGCTATGCACACAGAAATAGAAGTGGCCCCAAAGTTAGGGGGAAAATTAAGTAGCAAAGGGAAAACTAACAGCAGAATGACAAGTCGAAAAGGCATTTGATGGACAGGTCAAAGGAAACAAAAAGGAAAGGAAAAATAATAAGAAACTGAAAGGGGAAAGTAGATATGAATTGAAGAACGCTAGGTAAGCTGCAGAGATACTGAGAGTTTGATGAGACATTGATGCCATATTCTTTTAGCAAGTCCTCGGGGGTGGGACAACTGCACAGCAGTGTCCAAAGATACTAACATTTGTGTTCCAAGAATGAGGACTCTGGGATCAGGCAGATCCTGATTTAGATCCTTGGACAAGAAAAGTAATCTATTGAATTTTGCTTTGCATATCTGAAAAATAGGAATAATAATTTGCTTCACCAGATTATTGTGAAGACTGAATATAGTGAAATATACAAAATCCCATCACAACACCTGATACGTAATAGATGTTCGATAAAGGTCAAGTTTTGCTCCTTCCTCAAATTAGGCATTCTACACTAACTAGTCTTTTTGATCATCAATAATTCTCTGTACTGCCTTCCTCACCCTCTTATGGGCCCTGGCTTTCCCGTGTAAACTCTTTAAGAGCAGAATCTATGTTTGATTCACCAGAGAAACCTCAGTGCCTCACATAGTGCCTGGCACAATGAAAATTGTTCAATAACAAACTGAATAAAAATCCATTGAATGAATTAATGAAAAAATGGAAGGATGAATAAACAAACAAATGCATTAATAATAACAACAACATTCCTTTTGGTGGGAGTTTATTTAATACATATAGTTAGGTTTCAGAACAGAAAATAGAACCCACTTGAGGTAATTTAAGCAGAGAGCTTAATTAAGGGAGTTAAGGACTTAGACATTGGTGGGAATAAAGTGCATCAGTCAGAGAGCTGCCACTCAACTACAGATTTCAAGGTCACTTCAACATCACCCCCCAAAAAAGATTATTTATAATTCATTTGTTCTTTCATTCATGTTTGTTTCTGTCAATTAAACAATGTTTGTTTGCCCATTTAGTTATCCAGAGATAGGGAAGTTATAGCTTTGGCCATGGCCACAACAAAGCTGGTGAGTAGACAGGCATCCTGGTCCCATCACCTTGCCTCCTGCAAACCTCACATGTCATGACCTGGCTCGGTAGCAACAACAATAGTGGAAAATGGCAACTATTTTCTTTCTTCCAAATCTCAACCCAATGGCATGATATTGGCAGAACAAAATTTGCATCCATGAATCTGAGACAGGTAGCTTTCTAACTTATAATTTTCTAACATACCAAACTAGAAAGAGGGTGGAGTGAAGGCTGGAAGAGCCAATCCAGTTCTTCAGCCTAACAAGAGAGCAGGCTTCAGTCATGAGAAAGAATGAAACAAGAGAAAAACAGGAAGGGATAAGAGACAAACAAAACCACTCTATAACCTTGATTCTCTAAGATTTTTCCCATTTCAAATATTCAAGCCCAGGCTCAGACTTCTTGTATCTTTTGGGGTTTGTAAAACTTGCACACATCAGATATAGAAGAACAAAATTTACCATATTTCCCAAATATCCTTTCTTCTATGACTTCACCCATATAGAAGATAGCCAGCATTCTGGAAGAAAATCACAGTAATTGAGACTTGTATCTGTCATACCAAATGTTCACTGAAATCTTGAACACCTCCCATCTGTTGCACAAGGAGTCATGTTTTCCAAATCAACTTTGCAATGAATACATGAGCTCTGGTGATCATGAGAATTCACTTTGCAAACTTCCAGTCACAGGAAATGTCATGATCAAGGACTTTTAGCTGCTACTGCTGCTGCTGCTACTGAGCTCTGAAAATTCATCAGTGGTGTGGCTCCAAGGCCACTCTTCCTGAAAGTTCTCATAGACAATGACTAAGCACAACCAGAACTCTAAGAAAACACAAAGGTCTCCTCTAATGGGTGACTAGCTCAAGTACTTCCCAAGGCCCTTGCCAAACTTCCCTTGGGACTTTCCTTAGCATGATCAGCAGTCTAGAATGCTTTCATCCAAAATTTCTTTCCTCTCTTATTCATTTACTGACTTGCATCATGATCCAGTAGCTTTCCCAAACCCCTCTCTGCCTCCTTCCCATTTTATCAGGCATCAACCTTAATCAAATCTTGTCATGGCATTTGCCTCCTGAAGAACCTGGACTAACAAATGAGACATGCGGAGGGAGGATGTGTGGCTGATCTTTAATATCCCACCTCCAGGTATGTCAATGCGATGGGGAAGGCAATAGAAATGAGGTTGGGATAAGAAGATCTTTATAAGACTATCCAAAGTAAACTGTTCCATAGGCAATGAAAACATGCTTTACATTGTTCTATCTGTCAAGAGAATAGCTTTCAGTCATTAGAGGAAACTAGAAAGAAACTAGGAATTGCTACAAGATATCCATGACTTATCTATGACCTTGAGCTTCTAGGATTGTTGTAAATCAAATTCTCTGGCCCAGCTGTCACTTTTTGGGTTTATAAGACACATTCACATCAAATACAGAAGAATAATATTCATCTTATTCCCTTAACATCATATATACATATCTGTGTGTGTGTCTGTGTATGTGGTGGGTATTTATACAGGAGCAGCACCTGTTAAATGGACATTTTGCATTGTTAATCTCTAATTCTGAAGAAATAAATATTTACTTCTTTCTTCTGCCTGTTTCAGGAAAAATTTTCTTGCCTTTTGGTGAATTTTTATTGTTAAAAATAAACTGGTTTTGCTTAAGCTGTCATTGAATTGGAATTTTCCTTATTTCATTTCTGTATATATTCCTTGTTAAATAGGTAGATAATTGATAGGTGGTAGATAGATAGATAGATAGATAGATAGATAGATAGATAGATTCTATTTCAAGAGTTTAGAAATCTAGCCTGTAAACTCTATGTCTGTATATTTCAACACCATAATCTTAGCTCCTAGAACACTGCTGGGCATTATTTCAGGACTTTAAAAATTTGTCCTGTCTTTGATTTTCATGAAGGCTGACTTGGTAAGGAATAATTCACAGGAAATTCTCTTTTCATTTCTTTTCTAGTATTTGCTAACCTCTTAAGTAAGAACATACTTGGAAGAAATGGAATTTGGATCTGATATTCATGGCACAAATCATCTGGAGATAAAGAAAAGGAATCGCCACAAGGCCACAGAGAACTTCAATGTTACCACCTAACCCTAACCATCCACAGTTCTTCAAACCCATCTGCTGTTGGAGATCACTATGAAGTAAAATGTCCAGAATGCTCCTCATTCTCCAAGCAATCTAAGTAGGGTGTTTTGGGATTGCTCTGCAGAAATGGCTCACCCCTGAAGATAAGTCTGGACACACAAACTCCATTCTTCCCAACAGAGGTTCAGATTTATTGAGCTCACATATCCAGAGCTTTCTTGACTATTACAGTTCCACTGTAAATGAAGCAAGAACTTGAGGTCTGGCCCAAGACAGTTTATAACCTAATCACTGACACCTTTTCAAGGTAACTTTGACTATATGGGCCGGGAATACCATTGTTAATAGCCTAGAATTTAGTCAAGAAGAATAAGCCTTTTTTTTTTTGTACCGGGGATCGAACTCCAGACCTTGCACTTGTGAGGCAGGCAGCAGAACCAATGAGCTAAATCCCCAGCCCAGAACAAGCCTTTTTAATTAAAAAAAAAAGCTACTAGTATGATGAGTTTGTGTCTTTTGTTTTTGTGGGGGTTTTTTTCTTTACTTTCCTATGATTTATCCTTCTATTGTGGATCCTGCCTCTAACCAACTAGGAACAATTATAAAGTAGAAAAATTCAGACCTTCATAAGCTCATTTGAACCATTTATTGAACACATACTATATTACAGTCTTTGAATTAAGTCCTACAGAGTCTATGATGAACAAAATTCACAGACTTTCTATCATCATTAGAGTTTTAAGTTTGGGAAGGAGATGGTCAGTTATAAAATAGTCAAACAATCTGTATCCATTATAAATTAAATAATGTGTTATAAAGAGTAGAATATTGTGAAGTATCCCAGAGAAAGTAACAGATTGAGCTGAGTTTTAAATCATGAGTAACAGTTAACTAGGCAGAGGCAGTTAGAGAACTGGGGCAGGGTTTGGGATGGTGGGAGGGGGAACTGGTTCCAGGCAGGTGGATGAGCATGTGGAAAATCAGAGAGAAGCACAGAGGATTTCAAGAACCGGAAGAAGGCCAGGACGGCTGAGCCCCAAGCATGAGGTGGTGTGCAGTGAGATGAGACTGCAAAAGGAGGCCAAGGCTGCAACAGCAGGGCCTTGTGCACATGCCAGGCCCCTGAGATTGTCTTAATTCCTTCGCCCAAGCCTAGTGTTCTCAGAGTTCCCCTAAACTTGCGTCTGACTCAGCTTTGCACACTTTCCACATGGATTTTAAAGTCCTCTCTCAGTTCCTCTTTCCTAGGAAAACACCTGTACTCTCCTCCTGAGCCAGCCTGCTGCAACATGATTCTCAAGCCCTGTCCCTTCCTGCTATCAGCTCTGCCTTCTTCTCTCTGTTGCTTTTTCAGTATAAAAGGTCTTCCTACTTTTTTTCCTTCTTGATTCAAATTTATTCTCAGATCCTCCCTTTGAAGATGTGAAAATATTTCCTAAGGATATTGGACCTTGGAAGGGGAAAAAGGCCTCCTTGATTTGAGTTACAACAAGACATCCCCAGTCAGGGTCTCCAAGAATGTATTTTAGAGAAGGAGACATTTGTGGGTTGACACTCCCACAGCTCCTTATATTTGCCATGTAAGCACTTGCTGTTTGCCCAAACTAAATGTGTCTACTTCCTAGTAGAAATATATGAGAGAAACAATCATCACAGCTCAGTATAACATTAAAGTAGGGGCAATTAGACCCCGAGGAAACTGATAGCAATGTCTAGAGATCTTTTGATTTTCACACTAAGAGGGATTGATGCAACTGGCAGCTGGTAAATAGAGGCCCAGGATGCCATTAACATCCTAAACATCCTACAATGTACAAGATACCCCTGCAAACAAAGAATTATCCACCAAAATGTTCATAGCACTGAGATTGATAAACCTTGCAAAAATCCTTCCATCTTGAAAGTGACAGTTCAAGGTCTACATCTCTCATTTCTGATTAATATTATTCAGTTGCTCACCACCTCCACAATGCACTCACATAATTATAGCATGTATTTGTATGCATTTTTGTTGATTACGGGTTCACCCTTCCTGTCTTTCCAACTTATATATTTAAGGTCTTCAAGGAAATGAAGCATCCTTAATATACACTTAGCAACCCATTAAAATCTGGTTAAACAACTGCTATTGGGAAGTTCTCTGTGTTGACAGAGACTGCTTAAAATTGCCAAGAAGTACCAACTTTGTTAGTTTCTTTTGTGTTGATATGACAGACTATCAAAGGTAGAGTGATTTATAAATAAAAGGAATTTATTTCTTACAATTCTGGAAATTTGGAAGTACAAGGTCAAGGGGCCACATCTGGTGAGGACCTTCCGACTACATCATAGCACAGCGGAAAGCCTCAAATGGCAGAAAAAATGTAAGCATGCAAATTCAGGTTTCTCTTCTCCTTATAAAGCTATTAATACCAACAACACAGGGGCCTTGCTCTCATTACCTCCTCTAGTCCAATTACTTCTCAAGGACCCACCCACCAAATACCATCATCATATGAAAATTTTGGGATTAAGTTTCCAACACATGAAATTTTGGGGAACATATCTGATCATAGCAGTCTTTTTGTTTTATACATTGTCATCCTACAGGGGATAGAGCTGTTGTAGGGGACCCCAGAACTGCCCTGTGAAGGGAGAACAAGTATGCTTCACAGTCTAGATAGAATAGAACATGCTGTGGTGACAGCAACCCCAAAATCCCAGGGGCTTTGAAACTACAAGATTTTATTGTCACTTCATTATATCTTCATTTCAGACTATTAGGGGTATTTTGCCCCTGCCATCCCTGATGAGGCTACAGGGTTCACCTCAAGAGAGAAAGAGATGCTAGGGAATAAGGCCTCACCCCAGAATTGATACAAGTCACTTCTGCTCATGGTTCATTGTCCAGAAATAGACACACAGCCCCATCTAGACTAGAAATAACAGCAAGAATGATCAGGAAATATAGGAGAGCTAAGTGTGAATTCCAGCTTCACCACTTATAATCTGAGTCAGTAATTTAATTTCTCCAAGACTGTTTCTTCATCTATATAAAATGGCAACAATAGTAAATCATTGTTATTATTGGAATGCTTCAGAGTACTTGTGAACACTAATTGAAGTGTTTTCCATACAATCCGTGGCATACTTCAGGCATATAGTACAGGCTCAATAAATGAAAATGGCTATTGCAATCACAATGTTGATGATGACAATGTCGGTGTTGCTGGGTCACCAGTATGGGGAGGTCCGCTGGGTCATAAGGCAAAGGTGACCCAGGCAGAGGTTTCTCCCTGACTGGCATTTTTTTCACTGTAGTTGGTAAAATTTTCTTCTGTTATCTCTGAGAAAAAATAATGTTTACTCTTTGTCATTCATCTAAAATAATTGTAAATACCTAGCACTTTCCAAGCATTATGAGGAGTGCTTACATAGAAAGATGAATACAATCTCAGCCCCATCCTTTAGGAGTTTACAGACTGGAAGTCTGTAAAGAAGAGGCTACAGGAACTCCGAGATAGCCCTTAGCAGATTGGGGAGGGAAGATTTAGTCACAAAACACTTCGTGGAAGAAATGGTGACTAAAGGGCAAATAGAAGTTATCAGAGAAGGGGGTAGACTGGACAAACAAGAAAACTCAGCTGAGGAAAGAACATTTGCAAAGGTACAGAGAAAGAGAGAGCTTAGTATATTCCAAGCTTGATGGCAGGCAGGACAGAGAGGACAAAGCTGCCACAATCCAACTTTTAAAAATTCTGTGACCTCCACTGATTTAGTGGGCATAGAGATGATGAAAAATAATATATCTGAAGAATCAGGAGTGGGTAGGACGGACAAGCTCTGATAGCTGGTCAAATGGTGGGAAGACTGAGCAGCTTCAAGGAGACTGACAATGCTGCACATCAAGCCGGAGGGCCAGCAGCATGTAGAAGATGAAGGGTTCACTTTTTAACCCTGACTTTGAGGTTCCTGGGGGACATATCAGTGGAGAAATTAAGCATATAGTAAGTATACAGTCTGGCTCAGGAATGAAATCTAGGCTGGAAATAAAGTTTATGGAATTGTCAGCACAGATAGGGTCTAGTTAAGGACAGGCAAGTGGGTGAACTCACCAAGGAAAGTAAGTAGAGCGAAAAGAAGAGGTGACTCAAATCCAAACCTCAGAAAACACCATTTAAAATGTGGGTGGCATGAGTTACTTGTGAAGGTAGTTAAGAAGAAAAAACTAGACGGGAAATTGGAAATTGAGCATTTAAAGTCACTAGAGACAGGGGAGGAAAGGATTTCAGGAAAAGCCTGGTCAACAAGGTCACTTGTCACCAAAATATTAACAATGTGGATTTAAAATTGGATTAAGCATGCAGATTTTGTGAGTGAGCTCCATCAGAATAGTCCTAGCACAGCAGAAGAGATGGAAGCCACACGGAGACAATGTGAGGAGACATGGAGTAAACTAACCTTTCCAAGTTTCTTGATGGAGAAGGAAATGATGAGGAAAGAACAGAAACTAAAGAATTTATGAGAAAATTAAGGATTTTGTTTTGTTCGAGTAAAAGAGTTAAGCACATTTATATACTGAGTGATGAATGTGAGTTAAGAGGTAAATTGAAAATATAATATAGAAGACTAGTGATCCCAGAAAATCAATGATCAAGGGCCAACCCATATTCGGTTCTTTTGCACAGACAGATTATAACATGCAAAAGCCAAAACAAAAAATCAGAATGCCTAGGCTCTTACCTCTCCCTTCCCTGTCCACACAAGTCTGGGACTAAATTCTTTCTATCACCAGTTCTGCTTTACTGGACACCTTTTTCCTGATCAGATATCTCCCTGTTTTTTAGAACAAACACATTTTTCCAGGTTGGGCTATCATTGTCTAGACATCTAGCATAGTTTAACCTAGTAAGTTCAATAATTACAAAAATAAATCTAGGAGCAGTACCTTAACTTTTTCAGAATAGACCTTGCAACTTTCCATGAACCACACAATACCAGGTGACAAGAACAGGAAGACACTTGCAGGGAAGCTCTCTAGGAAAGATTCATTATTCATTCCACAAACATTTACTGAGCATACGGTGCTGCCATCAGCCACAGAACAGATGGCTCAAGGCAACTGATACACGAAGCCTCCTCCAAACTGGAGGATTCCCTACTCCCCGCAAATGACAAATCAGTGCCTTCTACATGCATCCATCTGCCGTGATCTGAAGCCCAGATATTCTCCCTGAATCCTTGGCATAAAGAAGCAGATCACTACCAATTTTTCTTTCTGTCAACAGGAGCTGAGGAATAATTATGCCCAATTGACACAAGCAGCTCCAATTGCCTTCAGAATTTGGCCTGAAGCCCAATTATATTTTTCTAGTTTGTGCCACAGTACATGAAAAGTACAATTTGTCTCATTTCTTTTTCTTACTTTTTAGAATATTCAAAAAAAGTATTTGGCTCAGT